CGGAGGGTTGGCAGGTGGAGTACAGAGGGAGGAGGAATTCCCTTCGCGTAGATAAGGTAATTGCTTTTGATCCCTTTCTTTGATTTTGGAATTTTTTTTTTGGGGGGTTAATTTTTCAAATAAATGGAAAGCCTGTTAATTTTGTTATCGTGTCATAACTGAAGGGTATAAAGGTCATCTACTAGCCACGAGCATAACGCTCGCACTACTCGACGTTACATTCGTCCCAACGAACTCCCAAACAAAGAAAAAGAAAAATAAAAATAAAAAGAAAAATAAAATAAATGCAATTAAAAAATAGGGGAAAAAAAAGATCGTGACCTTTTGCAATTTCCAATGGCGCACACGTGTGCATCGAAATCCGCAGCACTGATTTATTGGTCAGAGTCTGTTGCAATTTGGGGGGAGGGAGAAAGAGGAAGGGGAGAGATGGGTAGGAGGGAGGGAGGCGATCGCCGGCGGAGGATCGGAAAACCCCGGCGAGAGATCGACGGAAAAGCGATAGTTCCGGCAATGCCTCTGTCGGAGGCTGAGGTCTGGCCGGAGTGGTTGCCGGCGGGTTGGACAATTGAGCTGAAGAAGAGGAAGAGTAACTGTCTTAGTAAAGATAAAGTGGATCGGGTAATTTCAACTCATTTCTCTCTATTATTAAGTTATAAAAAAATTACCTTATTAGTTAGAACTATATATGCAACAAACGGTAATATTCCTGAAAGGGGTGTTTCTTCAAACCATCTGATTGTGGGAAATTGATTCTTCAACTAAAAAATTGGTAATTCTGTACAGTGGGTTCTGTTGGAGTATCTAGTCTTGGTGTGGACTGGGTTATATCTGGGATTCTTAGAAAACCCAGCCAATTTGAGAATAAAAGTAATTCTCCGTAAAGAAAATAGCAGCTTGATAGGCTATACCTGTCCGCATTATTTGTTTTGAGGCATTAACTTTTAACTCATAAAGTTTCGTTGAAGCTATGCGCAACTCTTGCATTATGGTGGATGAAGAATGTGGAAAGAATGGAAACCTCTCGCTTCAGATACGTGTGGCGTATTACATATACATGTTGGACAAAATAGTTCTTATTTTGTTATTACTATTTTTTTGGTACATTAGTTTAGAATTTGTGGTGTGTGTTGTTTGGAGGATCCAAGATTTCCAGAAGGTGGTGTATACATAATTAATAATTAGAAAAAAGTTTACAACTGCCCCGACAAGTTTTCATAATATTTTGAAAAAAAGTACATAATCATATAATTAGTAATACTATCAAATACATCTTTCTTAATATATGCCTCTAAACAACCATTGAGCCGATCATCATTCAATTTATTCTACAGTTTTCTATTTGCCACTCCATTACAGGAAGCTTTTTCCACAGTTGCCGTAAAAACCAACTCCATCCTCAAAATCAAATACACCAAACAATAGATCTTACTGCTGGTGGCAAGGTTCGGGTTGGGTTCCTTTGACAAAGCTATCACCTAAAATCGTGTCATTCAATTGAGTGACATTTTACCGTCTACTTCTTTTGTTACAAGTGACTGGGGAATAAATTAGGGGGCCCACAGGAGGATGGGACGGGTAGTGGCGGGTGGGTTGAGGGTTCTCTTGGAAAGTTGTTGTCATGGGACACCATTTTGCCAAGGTAGATCCGCTCTTGTGTGTTGTGCTTGTTTCTCCATATCCATGCATGTGCTTCTTATTTCTATATAGATCCAGTTGTACAGTTAATTGAAAACTTATGCACCAGGAGTTGGGTACAAATTGTTAACTAAGAAGGTTCATGGGAATCTCATCAAGTAGATTAATCTAGAAATTGCCTATAACCTTGTGGAGAGTTCTGCAGTCTGTACTATGATAAAACAGATGTTAGATGTATTTCCATTTTCAGTAATATATTTGAAACTGTCCAGACAATTATTGTATCATGCACATACATTTTTCATAAAGTGGTTTTGTTGTATTTTCTATAATGACCGGTTCATTCAGATAATATATATGGACCATGTTAAACATCTAAGACTGCTGCTCACGCCGCAGTTTGTAAAAGACTGTTCTGTTATGGATGTATATTAATGACTTTCTCAAACAAAAGTTTCTAGGTTGCAAATCTTCTTTTGTATTACAAATGTAATTCATATGAAAATGGTTGTTTAATGCTAGAAATGCTTCTTGATGTATGAGTCATATTTTATTTGTGGAATTTATTGAACCATTTCACTCGTAATTTCTGATAGAGGTCTAATATAATTGTCTGAATAGGTGTCCACTAGGGAATATATATTTGGTTATAGCTCATTAAAAGATATTGCACTTACGTTTTATGCCACACAGTTAAGCTACCTTGATAGTTTTTTCTTACTGCGTGTAATTGCAGTATTACGTTTGTCCATTATCTGGTAAAAGATATCGTTCGAGGCTGGAGGTGATGCGTCTTCTCAATAATGAAATGCATGATCGTCCTTCAAAGTCATCAAAGGTGGTGCATTATCGTCCTTCAATGTCGTCAAAGGCCACGCATGATCGTCCCTCAACATCATCAAAAGTGGTGAAGGGGGAGCGGCCGGAGTGGCTTCCAGAGGGTTGGTTGGTGGAGTTTAGGCAGAGAAGGGTATCTAGGGTAGTAGATAAGGTATTTGCTTACTTTCTCAGAATCTTTTCTTTTTGTCTTGTTTCATGCAGGAGGCAATTACCTCAATACCATAAGTTTCCAAAACTTGAAGTTGACTGATAAAGTGAAAAAAGAAAATTCGTTTGAGGCCTAGATCAGTATTAAAAGCGTTGGGACTTGGTTACAGAGATACCAGGCTCAAAAACAGGAGCCTTTATTCTGAAGGAGGATAAAAGTAGCTAAGTTTTTACTCAGTTGTAATTTTCTTTGAAGTCAATGTGCTTAAAATAAATAACTGAATCACTATAACCTATAAGTATTTGTTATTACACCATAAACCAGGGTCATAAAAGTCACTACACATTTTTCTTGCATTGTTGATCAGTTTGATACGGGCAAAATTTTGGACAAGTTGCCATTTATTTAGCTGAGAGCATCACAGTCCTAGTACTGATTCTGCCTATGTCTGGAAAAACTACATACAAATAAAAAGTTGAAAAAAAGGGGGAAAGGTTATTTCCTTTATCAGTTGCTTGTGATACTCATGCTAGTGGTCTATGGACTAATGTCATGTCTCCATTCAGTTGCTGCCGGAGTTCCACCATGGTGCAACACTGTTCATATTCTCATTCTCACTTGCTAATGTCGATATGCAGGGCCTTAGATACTTCTTTCTTTGCTTGTGTGTGTGTGTGTTTGTTTGTGTGCAAGTTTCCGTTGTACGATGGGCAAAATATCTGTAATAATTTTCATTATTGTTTATTTCCACGTGCTTCAAAGATTTTAATCATGATGGGTATGCAGACCCTTTTTGTAGATTCACATGCATTCAGCCAATTGGCATACCTCAATTTATTCATTTGACATTATGAGTTTATAATAGCAACTTGACATCATTAACTCTGTTTCATGGATCATGTATAAAACAAAATATTTTCAAGTACATTTTTCTTTCTATTAGCTATATGCTACGAGGAGTTGTCCTGTGAACTGGCAGGCCTGATCATTTCAGATGCCTATCTCAGCAACTCTTATGCAATGATGCAAATTGCGATTCTTTCTTTTGTTACTCATGATTTTTATTCTTATGCAATGATGCAACTCTTATGCATGTAATGTTACACGGTTCTCATGTACTGAATTTTGTTTTATACATTTATCTCATGACATTGATGTCCTGATATGTAATGATTCTTAGAAAACTAAATTCATGTTTCATTTGTGGATTTCAGTAGGCATTTCTTTAACAATTTGTCCAATGCACATCTAAGATAAATAGCTGAATATAGCACATAGGTCAAATTCATTATAGGTTATAGTTACTGAAAAAATATTGCAGCAATGTTGTATGCTATACAACTAAGCTTTGCTTTGGTGATCATTGTTCTTTTCTTTTTCTTCTCCTTTTGGATTTGGCAGTATTACATATGTGCGCTATCTGGCATAAGATTGCGATCAAGAGTGGAGGTTATGCGTTTTCTTGCTAACCAGATGCTTGAGCCTCCTGCATCTGGATCATTTTCTTCTGATGAACTTTCCCAGCAGCTAATAGGATATCCTGCATCTGGATCCACACTTTTCGATGAACACTACAAGCAGCTAGTAACCTATCCTGCATCTGGATCAACACCTTCTGATGAACACTACAAGCCGCTAGCAACCTATCCTGCATCTAGATCAGCACCTTCTAATGAAAATAATGAGAAGGTAGAAAGATTTCCTCTTTATGTTATTTGATATCTGGAGGTTCTCATGAGCTTCTTATTAGGATGTTAAAAAGGGTTCAACTATGTTAGCCTGCTGCAAACTCCTGAAAACATTTCTTCTTTCCTATTCTGATCACTTGGCTGGTCTCATTTCAATATTTTGTATTGTTCGTACGTGGTGTATAAATAAAAAATGCTCGTACGTGGTGTATAAATAAAAAATGCTCAAGTAATTATTGATGATCCACAAGGAAACTATGCCTAAAGAATGTTAAGATAAGTACAATAATGGGAAAATATGCGAGCTAAGGGGGCTTTGCTTCAAAGGTTTGCAATTGCATATTAGGATGCACAAATGTTATATTCAAATTTGTTAAAACATTACTAGCAAAGATAAAAAGTTTGGCAAGAAGAGTTAAGGAAGCAATAATAGTAGGTATGCAACAAATGTTATATTCAAATCTGTGCAAAGATCATGCTGACTTTGTATGGATGAAGTAAATTTATGCAGTTGTTATTATTATTCTCTTTATACTACCAAAATGTCCATAGTGCTAACTGCTAATCTCTGCAAGCTGCACAAAATATTTTCCTATGAACTTGAGGATGCCTGTCATCTTCAAGTGCTATTTGATGTAGTGCCTCGTGAAAGTATCCGCAGTTGCAGATTTTACCAAAGTTTAGGTCATCTGTGTAACAGTTGTGTGGATTTGGACTTTTTGGTTAATTCTACTGAATTTGAGGGATGAGTTTTGCATTATATTGGAATAGCACAAAGTATTGTAGTGGTCTCGAGATATTTTCTGATGAATACAAAGATCTGTTGAATCAATTGCATAGTCTACGCCAAGAAGGTGATACTCCTGTATCTTATTGCTCTCTAGCTTTGTAGTTCTGTATGTCATCATAAGTAGTTACAGGGTAAACACAGCTACTTTTATTCTTGTATTCAAAAGCAAGAAACATTGATTTGTATTCATTACACAATGTCATGTCCATTCTTTTCTTGTTTATTTTACTTTACCCATGGTTACCGTGTATATGCTTTAGGCTGTTTGCTTTTACCACCTCACATCAGTTAAAAAAAACATCATAACATTCAGTTCATTACCAGGCACAGTATGACCACTCTCCTAGTGGGCTACCTGCTGGCTGGATCAAGGAAACTAGGTTCAGAAAGAATGGTAGAACAGACTCGGTACCTTTACTTTAACTTGAGTACTTCTTTTTCTGTCCATAGGTTCTGTTTTAAAGATGTTTTGCTTGCAGAAGATTATATTTCGTGTGATAAATATTTGGGAGTTAATGTCAAGTTTGATCAATCCATCCGCTTGTGATAGATTCTCAGTTTCCAATAAAATATGATTGCCATTCTTCAATGCGACACATTTTATTGTACACAGAGTTGTATCTGTGTGCATATTTTACTGACTATTATGTTTGCACTTGTTTTACTTATTTTTGTTGAATAGTTGAATTGAACATCCTGTTCTTATAAGTTGTTAAGTGCATTTTGGGAATTCTTCATGTATGCATGGTGAACTGTTCAGAAGCAAACTATGATAAGGGTTTTGATATGCATGCTTTCTACACACTTTAGATATATGTTGGAGATGATAGTGCTAATCTAGTGGCATCTTGCCAATGAACTCACCTACCATGATAGCACACTCATAAACTGTATATGTTTGATTGTGTGTGGTTATATATCCACATACTTGTACATACCTATGCAGGTATATATGTTGAAAGTTAGCCAAGATGGAGATGTTTATGGAATTATAATTTTGTGAATGAAATTAAAATTGCTTTTTTATACTTTATGTAATGCAGAGTTTTACAACTATGTCTACCATATTTTATTACTCAGTTGAAATTTGTCACTTTTTGGTATTTCATATTCTCCATTTGCTTCAGCAGCTCTGCTAGTGGTTGTGCTTGCTGATATTGGAGACTTTTCATGTGTCAACCTATTTAAAATTGTTTAATCACTTCCATGAAATTGTTCTTTGATGTAACAAGTTTTACCTGTAATGATTATCGTTATTTGATACTTTTCTGTGCTTGAACTAGTTTTAGTTGAGTTACTCTGATAATATTCAATTGTCCCTCCTCAGTACTACATTGATCCTACTCATGGATATGGGCTTCGCTCCAAAAAGGATGTTTCCCGATATCTTGAAAATAAAGATGTATGTCGGATTGCATTTAGACGAAAGAGGACGCATACACCGGATGAGTTAACCTTGAAGGAAGAGTTTCTTGTAAGAATGTTTAGTTTTAAGTTACATTTGATTTGTACATGTTCCCTTGCATCGTTATTCCCAGTATACATTTTTCTTATGTCTGTCTTAGTGCAAAACACTTGTGGTTCCTTACAAAGCCTTTCTTGCCTTTTTTCACAATCAGTTTGTTCTTGACAGATGCTTTAGTTTTTTAGTTCATTACCTTTTTTTTTGGGTGTGGGAAAGTTTGAATCTGCAAGCCATGGATATGGCCACAAAACCTTTTTTTTTTTAAGAGTATCCTCCAGATTGGCTTCTCTGTCAATTTTCGTTACATAGAAAATCAACATGCATATCAGTTCCCTTTTCCTAAAATTTTATTGAGAAAACAACGAAGGAGTAGGTAAATTCTTAGGCGGACTGAGACATAATCCTGTTGTAAAAGCTATGAACTACATACTTCAAGTTGATTTTCAGTGTTCAAATGACATTCCTTGTTGGGCCATTTTGTTCTCGCTTTTATCAACTTGTTCTTCTTCAAGTTAATTTTCAGTTACTTTTTGATAATTAGTATAACCGGTTATATTCTCGTCCTTAATTTCAGAGAGAAAGTAAGGAGACAGAAAAAAAATGGGATCATGCTATTTATTTGATATGGTCATGCTATCTGATGCTATCTTCTGGTGCCGTTCAAATATTTTGTTGAATTTTTCACTCTCCTACTTTTGTTGCAACTTACAACTCTTCCTCATGTTCTCCTGTCAAATGCATTCTGTTGGCTATCCACATGTTCACTGCTAGTTCAGATATCCACTTGAATCATTTCTTATCCATCATGTTGTTTATCTTTATCCTTTTATTGTTGTTAGAAGCCTTTCTGAGAGTGTCTTTTGTTTGTGTTTTTCCCCACAGCCTTTAAGTCAACTCAAAAAGTCCAAAATGAAACGAAGTGTAGTAAGGAGACGGCTTTTTGCAAGAGACAGACCAATATCTAATGCAACCATGGACATCAATTTTGCAAACTCGCCACAAAAATCAGCTTCGTCGTGTTTGAGCGATTCTTCAGCACAATGTAAGTTCCCAAACATAATGATAAAAAAAGGCTGAGATACTTTTACCTTCCCCCAAACATAATGATAAAAAAAGGCTGAGATACTTTTACCTTCCTGCATCACCTCTCTCACAGTTTTCTGTTAGTATTATTACCTTACTAGTATAGCAGCTAGCTTAATCAGTGAGATAGGATTTTAGGTTTAATTTATGATCAGCAAGACTAGTGCAAATATAATAGACCCCAAAGAAACCAGGGGTGTAAATATAACCCAATCCCAATGGATCCAGATAATCTTAACATATTCAGTATCAGAGTATTGAAGTAACCAAATACGCATTTGAGTTATGAGAATATAGTACATATATTAGCTCTCTCTCTTTCTGCTGTGGAAACACTAGCTTTTTGGTTAGGCTAACCTCTTGTCAGATGTAAGACAAGCATACGAATAATAGATCCCAATCAGAAGTCAGAACAAGGGAGTTAGAAGGAATACTCCAATCTGAGGCATCTCTTTTCATATTTTCACATATTCTAGTATCTTATATCGGTCCCTTCAGGGATGTGGTAAAATATAATGTTAACCTATCAGGAATCCAATGCATATAAATAGCCAAAGAATTTGCCTGATTCCACAGGAATAGTTAAGTTAAAGTATTTAGTACTATTCCTGAAATGATTAGTATTACCTGCTGTTTATCATCCATATTTGATCCTAATCCAAATTCACATCATTAAAAAAAATGGTGTTGGGCTTGATATCTTATAAGCAAAGCCAAAAGAAAACAAGTCAATCATCCTTTCTGCCTAATTGGAACCCAAGAGGGCTAGACCTTAATGATATCATCCTACAAGCTACGCATAGGACGTGGTCCAAATGTTGTACTGAAAGAGTGATTTGAAGAAGTGGAATCAACTGAACTCTGGTAACTAGAATGTCCTAGAAGATTTATTGTTCCTTTATAATATGTTTCAGTGCACCACATAAAATTACTACATATGCTCTGAGATTTAACGAGAAAGCGGCATATATGATATCAATAAATTTCGTTCTGACCAATTTGCATCCCTTTGGTATCTCATTGAATATTTGTTTCAGCTTCGATGTATCGTTCTATGCTCTTGCAAGGACATTGAACAGAAAGTAAATTATTGTTCACTGTTTGTTACTGAATTTCTGTTGTCTTCCAGATATTGGTGAGTCAGAAATAGGTTGCTCAGCTCTAGCAAATGTTGAACCCATAAATCAAATGGTTACTCCATTTCAAATTGAGTGGCAGCCAAATCCAGCATTTAGTGAAGAAGAAATTCAAGCACACCCAACAATCAAAATGTTACCAGGCCCTGAAAGTGAGAACCTATCATTGATGCAGCAGGAAGGTGAAACACTAGCAATTCCAGATGCTAATCCATCTGAGGAGAAGCAATTTGAGCTAATAAATAAGCAGAGGTGTGCACATGGAGAAGAAATTCAAGAATTGTCAGCAATCAAATTTCCTCAAGGGTCTGACAATGAGAAGCTACGAGAGCCATTAATCCAGCTGGAAGGAGAAAGACTGATTCTAGATGCCAATTTGTCAGAAGAAGAGCAATTTGATTTTTCCGAGAGCCTAAGCCAAGTTAAGAGGCGTATCCAACCCAATAGGTGTGGTATTGGAGAAGAGAAGCGGATTCAACTTAAGAGTTGTTGCATCGGTGAACAACTTCAAGGAGAATCAGCAGTCAAACTTCTACAAGGGCCTCAAGATGATAAGCTATCAAAGCCACTGATGCCATTGGGAGAAGAAAATCTGTTGGTTCCAGATGCTAATTTGTTAGAAGATGAGCAACTTGAGATTCTCCAAAACCCCCAGAGTGGGAAGCCATTAGAGCCATTGACAGATGCTAGTCACTCAGAAGAAAAGCAAATTGAAATGACCGAGACGCTAAGCCAACTTAAGAGGCGACGCCCACGTGGCTCAAAAAATACTGAAGCTGCTAAATCAATCACTAATCAACCAAGACTGAGGAAAAGAAAAGCGGAAAAAACAGACACTGTACCTGTCCGGACTTCAAAGCGCCTGGCAGGTAGTACAGCTGTCCCTATCTCCAACTCGGGGATTGGAAACCAATCCAGGAGGATAGACAATAAGAAAACCGAGCAAGCCCAACTAACTGTGTCGGTGCACTCTGATGCAAATTGTGACTTGTCTATGACTGATGAACTTCAAGAAAAGCTCCAAAACCTAAATCCTTTTGTGGAATCAGATTCCCAGCAAGAGAAAGCTGATAAGCTGCGAAGAAGCGTTCCCAAGGACTCGGATGCAAGTTGCCGTAGGCATCAGAAAGATACGCCTATAACTAATAATCTTCTAGAAAAACTGGAGAAGTTGATGCCTCCTGTAGGAAATGCTCCTCAGAATCAGAAAGCCAATGTGCTCCAACCAACTGTACCAAAGGACTCAGATGCAAATTGTTTATCACCTGAGAAAGACACACCTGAAACTGATGAAATTCGAGAAAAACTCAGAAGGTTGGAGCCTTTTGCAGAAAAAGAGGATCAGACTGTTGCAGCTCTACCCTTCAGAGATTCTTGGTTTGATCCATGCATTGAGTTTGCTTTCAAGACTCTGACTAGTGATTTTCCGGTTTTTGAGGACATTACTCCTATTCAAGTCTATCTCAATCCTCAGCTCAAGTCATCTCAGATTCCGAACTTAAATGCTGGATCGATTCCATTTGCGGTTAACGGTCACTCATCAGGAAATGGGAAGGTGAGCAGAGATCGTCAGGAGGATATTGAAGGAAAACTATGTAACTAAGACTTACTGCGTAGCGTTTCACGATACATGCCGATGTAAGAACTGATGTAGCTTAAATACTTACAAAACCGGTATCTATGTTTTGTCTTGGTGAATTTCTTACAGTCTGGTATTTAGCTCAGACCATTTAATTGCTAGTGTGTCTGTGACGGAAAAAAATGATCAATTCTGGGTTTCCAGTGGACTAGCTGACTGACCGTTTTTCTCTCGGTGGAAAGTGGAGTTACTGCCTGTTTGGTATGAATGAAAATGGAAGAAAGGAAAAGAAATTGGAGAAGAAAGTCATTTTTAATTGTTTGGTTTGAAAGACTAAGCAAAAAAGAAAATAAGAACGGGAGAAAATTAGAAGGAAAATGCACTGAATATTTCCCCAATTCTCTTTCCTCGCCGAGATCCAGCAAAAGAAGCGGAAAATTTTGTCGGGGGAGGAAGAAGATTTGTCGGGGGAGGAAGAAGATAGACGACGCACTCGAGCTTACTAGCGCTTTTGTTTTCATGTGGGACCCACATGAAAAAAAATAAATGAGCCTGCTGTAATAAATAGGTCTGCTCTCAGTTTCAGCTGGTACAAAATACTCGCATGTTCTATGCGGCCCCACATCACATGCCATAATTAAATTGGCTATATTGCTGTGTAGAAGTGAAAAGTGTTTTTTATTTTTACTTTTTCCAACCATTATTCACATCTCGAAAGAAATGAGTTTAAATCTTTAAATTTGTACTATCTCCTTCAAGTTTTAAATTATTCTGAGATTAGTCCCTGAAATATTAAACTTGTAATTAGGTCGCTAATTTTCATAAATTATTTCAAGCTAATCTCCTGAATTGCTAATTTCACTCTTGATTCGAGATACTAACTTCAGAATTATTTTTCCCGCGGCTTATTCGCAATTTATATGATTTGAAGGACTAATTTTAAAATAACTTAAGAATCAAAAAACCTAATAGCAATTCAATAATTTGAGGGATCCGTTTCAAAAAATGAAAGATTTTAAGGGACTAATACAACAATGTAGTCATTTAACTTAATGTCGATATTTTTTTTTTTTTTTTGAGAAAAAATGTTGATATTTTCTTATAAAGAACGAGCAACGCTTGTCTTGAATTCTAGGCTAGAGAAATATCATTTAAAATATTATTCATATAGATTATATAACATAAGTTAATTACAGTTTCTACTTTACTTGTAGGGGCTGTTTTGTTCACCCAAAATTTGTGGAAAATGACTAAAAAAAAGTACAATTTGTTGTAAGTTTTTCATAACATTTTCATTTTCTTTGTTTGGTTCACTCATTGAAACCTGGAAAAATAACGATATGCTAAATTCCTATTGGTTGATGTGACCCATATTTTAGGACACACATTTCATGGTTTTTGTTGAGGAAATTGGAGGAAAACTTGTTATGGAAAGTGAATTATGTAAGAAATTGTTCAGCAAGGAAAAATAATTCATTTGTTCAGCAAGGAAGAATAATTCATTTTCTGTAGAAAGATGACATGTTCAACAGCAGATGCTTCTTAGTTCCTTGCTCTCTGTAACTTTTAAGTGGCATCATGGTGTTTGAGGTTTTATGGTTATTGAAATAGAGCTATGTGTATAGCTTTCACTAAGAACTTGTTGATCTTCTTAAATTTTCACATGTGAAATATACACCCTTGGCTACAAAATTTGCGAAAACCAAACGACTTAAATTAGCAAAATGAACAATAGACATGAAGCCAAACAATACATATTGATTGGAGAAAACGTCTTAATACAGCTTAAATTCACTCTCGAATGGGAACTAAAAATATTATAAATGACATCCCACTGACATGGATAGTTGATAAAACGTCGAAATCAAAATGGACAACATGGGTAAATTTCATCTCTAAAACCAGGATTCCATTTTTAACTACACGCATTCATTATTGACAAAACAAAGGCTGAAGTTGCATGACATAGACTGGAGCTGGAGCTTTTTATAACTTCAACCAGATTGGTTCCAGCCACCATAGCTCTCTTCCTCGTAGCCCCTCGAGCGATTTTCCTGCAGGAGAATATGGACTCAGTGAATTTACAGGCTTCATAGTTTCGCAATTTAGAAAAAAAGAGAAGGGAAAAGGCAGCATAATGCTGATTAAAATGATTTTTCAGATTTATTTTAAATGAGACATGCTTTCTAGTTACTGAACAATCAACTATTATGGATCAATGTATACCATAGGGATGAAAATCAGGTTCCTGGATTGTAAGAGCAATCATCACTGACAATCCAATTTCTCTTTTCTTCAAATGAGCAAGATTAACGACTATTATGTTTGTAATGTGTGAAAATTAATTATCGGCAACATCACATACATCTTGAATTTCATTACAAACATATTGTTTCTTCACTAAACAGTTATTTATCAATAACATTCACACTGTGAGGACTCTGACATCTGAAATTCGCCACGAATAATACTCGGAGTAGCAAGTGATCAATCTTGTAAATGCTATAATATGATTCCAATTTACAGATCTATATTTGAACATGTTGACCACGATGTCCAATAAATTTTACTATTAGAAAGAAGTTTCACAACCTAAACTCGCTTAAACATGATTTGTCTCAGCTATAAGTCAGGTCCTTACATTTATCTCACTATTTTCCTTATCCATCATCTTCTGTTTTTCGATTTTCTTCGTTTAGTAGCTAAATGCTTGCTTAGCTGTATAAGCTGGTCTTCATGGATGTATGATCAGTCCCTTACATGTATTTAGCGAGAAATTTAGCACCAATTTAGAGTGGTTGAAGTCAATGACAATTTGTAATTTTCATGGAGCCCTGTGCTCTATAGCCAATTCCATTTTAACGAAAAGAAACTTGGATGACAAGGAAAAGAAATATACAACTCTTAATATTTCCCCCCTATAATTTTCAGTAGCTCAAAGGTATTCATCTTAGGTAAAGTTTGATGCGAAGTACCTCTGGAGTAAAAGTAAAACCGACTTTAATTTCTCCCTTGTATTCCTCATCCTTGACCACATTATAAACTGTGGGGGGAAGGCTTCCTTCATCAAACAGTGCTTCTAAAGAAATCCTGGAATCAATAAAGATATAAAAAAATAAAATTAAAAAAGGCATAAAACAACCGTCGTATGTTCATTCATCATTCCTGGGTCTAATAATAAACCCCATACCAGAGGAATAGTATATCTTCATATAGATACGTTCATGACCAGCTCATATTCATATAGATACATTTGGATATATATTCATATAGATAGATTTATGATCATTTGATAGCTAAAAAGCTTACTCTACTTCCCCCACAAAATCATCTTCATTGCCGGAATCACTGTCCATGAGCCTTATTTTGAATCCCGAAACATTGTTTGAGACTGTGAAAACGAAATTCTCGTTCCACTCAGGTTCAACTCCTTTTCCTGTGTTACGAATAGATCCAAACATCAACAGATAATCAGAATCCATATTCGGCCATAATAAACTGGTTGGAGCAATTTTATTAGATTCATATACTCCGGTAATTAAAAGCATTACTTGATGGACTGATTATAGATCAAAGTAATATGATTCAGTGAGACTGAACTCTCAAGATTACACTTGTCTTTTGGAAAAGCATAGACTCATATTTCCAATGTTTGGTTAAAGATATGATAGTTGAGAATGATAGTTGAATTTTCATTTGTAGGGGGGTAAAAACTACAACATTTGACGCAACAAATCTACTTCCATTCCTTGAAGTAGATTCAAAAGTTAAATTAGGTATGTAATGTCAATTTGTGTGGACTCCAACTTAATCATTTTACAATTTCAACTAAAAAACAATTGATTTCAAATAATAATAATAAAAACTTTTATGCAACAAATGATGCAAATTCAATAGCTTTTAAAGGCTAACCAAACAGTGAATTTGCATTTCAAAATACATCTTATACAAGAAATACGCAGATATCCAAACGACAGATTTGAGCATATTTCCCCATAACAAATGCTACGTGCAATAATTTCTGCGTGCAATATTAATTGTATTTATATTGCACATGGAAATGCATAATACAATGAAATCATGGGTGTAAATTGAACATTAAACCGACGAATCTAAAAGGGGAAAAGGGCATCAAAATCTCGGGGATACCTGAAGCAATGCTGCTCCTCTGCTCCTGGCTGCAGAATTTGAGGATCGCATATGTATCCATGTCCTCTATTGCAATTGAAATTGGAATTAGATAATCAATCCCCCCCCAAAAAAATGTAAAAACTTGCTCATGATTAATAATAATTCCCCAGCAGTTAGATCAAAAGATGTAATTGACGTACTGAGGTAATCATTGTTCTCGAGGCCCTTGGCTCCCACGAGAAGGACTTCAATCTTCCCTTGAACCATTTTTTCCCCCTTTTCCTTTTGTTTTCGATCTGAATCTGAATCTGATGATAGTTTACGTATTTATAATGAGCAGTAGTATGAATGGAATGGAAGTAATATAATATAATAAAATGGATGGACCCGCGTTCCGAGAAGCATCACCGACCGCAACAGGGTTTTCCCGCGTTGATTCGGTGCATGCACTCCATGCCGACCTTTTAGTTTATGGAAAGAAAAAGAACAAATTTTTACTGTAGACCCAAACCAAATTTTAATTATCAAAATCGATCTTTTTTATTATTATCAAAATCGACCTATTTTATGCCACGTAAGCTTAATCTTATTTCCTAATTAGTCGGGGTTACCAACCCCGACTGTTTAGGAGTTGTTAAATCCCAATTAGAAACCTTAAACATAATTTTTAATGCCCTAAACAGTCGGGGTTGGCAACCCCGACTAATTAGAAAATGTGATTAACCTTACGTGGCATAAAGTGTGTCGATTTTGGTAATTAAAAAAAATGGATCGATTTTGGTAATTAAAAGTTGATTTGGGTCTACAGTAAAAAATTTGTTCAAAGAAAAATTCCTCAAGAACCCAAAATATGGGACCAATAGGGGGACAAGTGAAGTGTTCCCCTCCTATTGAATAATAAGTTGGTCATCATTAATGATGACCAATTCATTATCCAATAGGAGGGGGACACCTCACTTGTCCCCCTTATCGGTTTCATATTTTGGGTTCCTATAGCAAAGCTCTTATGGAAATTAAAACAGTTTGCTCTGTGTCGTAAAGTTCAATTACCTGCCTACCTCGCTCTTGTTTTTTTTTTCAATCATCTATTTTCTCCATCTAGTAAAGAAAAGTTAATTAAGTGAACATAAGATATATATATATATATATATATATATAGTTAAAGTGACGAATAAAACTTGTGTGGGAATTTAGCAAGGGGAACCAAGGGGATTTTATTTCACCTGTTTTGAAAAGTAAACAAAATCTGATTAGGATTAAAAGTTTACTTAATTATCTTAGTTTATATATGCGTCCAGATGCGCAAATAATTTCAAATTTTCGGTAAACAATGTTAAAAATCACCCATACTTCAGTTAGTTTCAAGGTTAATTTTAATTATCGTTAGTATTAGTTCATTTAAACTAGTGTTATACTCGCGCATTGCTAAGGGGATTTTTTTTCAAGATGTATTACATATCAAACTAATAAAATAAAATCAATTTAAGAAAGTTAACAATAATTCTTTTTGCTCTGATTTTATCATGCTAAACAACTTTTATTATAGCCCATGAGTCTTTGAATTATGCTTTAAATTTGTTAAACTTACTATACACATAATGGGAACAAACTTACTGTACACAAAAGAGTTAGTATATATCTCTTTATAAAGTAAGAATACATCCCTTTTTTTGGTGACATACTTCTCTTATTAGAAATGCTTTCTCCTAGTCATTAGAACTTGAGTTAGCTTTATTTAACTTTCTTAAACATATTGTTAAGTTATGATTTAACTTTATTCAACATAGTGCATACATAAATGCTAAAATGTAATTTAATAAACATATTCATAATAATTTTCATCCTCTAAAATGTAATTTTATAAATATTCACATATTTTATAATATCTGTTTGTCTTGAATGGAAGTAGAATTTAAAATTAAATGCAAAAGGGTATATATGCTATCAGTGAAATAAAAATAGAAATTAATTATATCTTTTTCCCCCATGTTCATGAAGTTCCAATGGAGTTTTTTTTCTATTCTTGAATTGAAGATTAATGGTTGTATAAAATATTATAGGATGAAGATGATGATGGTGAGATTTTATAGTAAATTAGTAGAGAAAGAGAGGTTATGAGTTGAGAATTTGAATGGGTTTGTAAGAGAATTAACATGTTAATGGGGGGTTAATTTATAGGTCAAATTATTTGGAGGTTATACATAATGAAAAGCTTTTTTTATGGGTCTTTTATACACTATAAAGATTACTTTTCGTATTCCCAAATATTATAATATTGTTTATTTTTAATTGTACAAAATAAATTTTAATAACTAAGGCCCCGTTTGGCAAAGGGTTAATGAAGAGGGGTTAAAGAGAAGGATTAATGTACTTAGTCCATTTGTTAATCCGAATGACTAAATTATTAACCAGTTAAATAAGTTTTATTTTAGCCCTTATTATCAGTTTTAGTGTTTGGGAAAAACAATGATTTTGACTATTTTCTTTATAATTAGAAGGGTTAACTCTTATTCCATCTAAATAGGAGTATTAGTAAACCCCTCATTTTGAGGGATTAACTCATTTTAACCCCTCTAGAGGGGTAAACTTAACCCTTCTATATTTTTTATGTTTGGCAAATTATGGAGGATTAACTCACTTTAACCCTTATATAGATTTGTTGTGTTTGGCAGGTTAAGAAGAGGTTAAGTCTCCTTAACCCCTCACTTAACCCTTTGCCAAACAGTACCTAAAATTCTAAAAAGTTGCCAAGTGGTAACTGTAGGGCCATTGTTTAGTGTGGCGAATATAATATATTATATATATATATATATATATATATATATATATATATAACATGGCTTGCATGTTATGTCTGTAAAAGAATGATGTCGGATCAGTACAGCTGCTAGGATGTCTTAGATCTATTTTAAAAATTATATATATTATATATATATTATTATATATATATATATATATAATATATATATTGAATGAGACGTGCTCATCTATTACCAAACAACAAAGCAGGCCACAAGTGTAGTGGCAAGGATCATACCCAAGTCATAAGATTCACATGGCTTTGCCTTCTCATTTCCTTCTATATATATGTTTTTTAATGTAAGAAAATTTATTTTTTCTCAACATGAAGAAAAAATTATAAGTGACAAAACGTTTCGTAGCGGAAAGTGAAGAGCGCATTTCACGTTACAGCTAAGGACTCTTCGGCCGTAGCAAAAAAATGAAAATGTCAAAGGCTAATTTATGATAGAGTATCATGAGCCTTCAAAAGGTAGTTGAATTGAATAGTACATTGGATGGATGGAGGCAAGTTGACCCCATTCATATTCATTTCATGTGCAAATGCCTTGAGTTCTGCTTCAAGATACTGTTGAAAAAGGAATGATGCAGTTTTTTTTTTTTTGTAGGCATGACATTAGCAATTGCTCACTCTGATTGGCTCAAGGAATTAGAATTTAGAAAGGAAATAAGAAGAAGAAAAGGGTGATATTTTCTTAGTTCGAATAATATGTCATCTTTCTAGAAAAGTAGATGTTGGAAAGTGTTGGGAATTTACGCCGAAACCCCTAAGACAGCAGAAACGCAGAATAGAAAAAGTACATCAAGTTTAACGAGGTTCGACAACTGCCTACGTCCTCGGGAGCCACACAGTAAATTTCTTATTAATCTAACAAGAAATTACAATTCAGAGCGAATCTCAAACTGAGATTCCTCAATAAATACTAAGGCGAATACTGTAGCTACAGTACCCCTTTTATATACCCCCTTCTTAATTCTCTCTTTAAATCCCTTCCCAATCACAACAGAAAGAGAGAGAGAGAGAGAGAGAGAGAGAGAGAGAGAGAGAGAGAGAGAGAGAGATCGCTGGAGAAAGGGGGAGGTTGAGCCGCCGCCAGGAGAGATCGCGTGAGAGAGAGAGGAAGCACAGAAGGGGGGAGATCTGGGTTTCCCTTTTATAGGGAAACCCTAGGGTCTGGCTGGCGACAGGCTGTCGCCAGCCCACGAACGCACGGACATCGCCTGCCAGCCTCGAACTCGCCTGCGGAAGAAGTCGCCAGCCTCGAACTCGCCTGGACTCGCGTTTGCCTGCCACGAGAGCTCCGCCTGCAGAACCCTTGCTCGCCTGCAACTCTGGATCTCGAGCTCGCCTGCCATGGATTCGCCTGAAGCCGCTGATCTCGAACTCGCCTTGAGCTCGCCTCTGATCCGCCTCGACATCGAGCTCGCCTGCAGAGGTTTGAGTCTACACCGACACTAATAATCTCCCACTTGGAGACCAAACCGACGTCAGTAGGCTATCTCAACAAGCTCCTCCTCCTGTGTGGCTCCGCCCTCATCATCTATGCATGAAGGCCAACTGAAGCTGCGCACAACTCCAGTTTCTGAACGGTCACTGTCTTTGTTAACATATCTGCTGGATTCTTACTTCCTGGAATCTTTTCCAGTTTCAACACGTCATCTTCCAACAGGGATCTAATGAAGTGGTACCGAAGCGCAATATGCTTCGTTCTAGAATAAAATGCTGAATTCTTCGCCAAGTGTATCGCACTCTGACTATCACTGTGCAAAACATTCTTCTCCTGTTTGAATCCCAGCTCTGTCAACAAACCCTGAAGCCATATCATCTCTTTACTGGCTTCAGTCACTGCAACATACTCAGCTTCTGTAGTGGACAGAGTGACAATCTTCTGTATCTGTGACATCCAACTAACAGTTGTAGTTCCGACAGTGAATACATAGCCGGTAGTGCTTCTTCGGTGATCAACTTTACCGCCGAAGTCTGCATCTACGTACCCTTGCACTTCTACCTCTCACTTACCAAAGTGCAAACACTTCTGTGTGGTGCCTCGTAGATACCTCAGAATCCACTTGACCGTTTCCCAATGAGCTTTTCCTGGATTCGACATAAACCGGCTGACCACTCCCACTGCATGGCCAATGTCTGGTCTCGTACAGACCATTGCGTACATCAAACTTCCGATAGCTGAGGCGTAAAGGACCTTAGCCATACTCTCTTTCTCTTCTTCTGACTGAGGAGACTGATCTTTCGATAGGCGAAAATGGCTGGCCAAGGGTGTGCTCACTGGCTTGGCGTCGCCCATGTTGAATCTCTGCAAAACACGGTTGATGTACTCCGCCTGAGATAACTGCAAGAGACATCTCTTCTTATCTCTCGTGATTTGCATTCCAAGGATCTTCTTCGCTGGACCCAAGTCTTTCATGTCAAACTCTTTTGACAGCTGCTGCTTCAAACTCTTGATATCCTCTATATCTGCTCCTGCAACCAACATATCATCAACATACAGCAGTAGGATGATAT